GGCTCCGCGCCTCCAGGCGGCACGGCCGCGAACGGCTCGGCGCGCGAGGGCAGGGCTGCGGACGTGGCTGGAAATGCGGCTCCCCCCGGAGGAAGCTGCAGTCGGGCCCGGATCTCCGTCCCCCACCGCCACCCCCGGCCCGTCCACCGCCTCCGCTCCAGCCCCTCCCGCAGGCGCGAGAGCGGGGCGCGCGCAAGACTCACCTGCGGCCGCGCGGAGCTCGGGCAGAGACACCGCCCAGCGCGAGCCGGGAACCGGGGCCCGGACAAGGTCGCGAATTACGTTGCTCCGGCCGTCAGGAAAGCGCTGTGTCTTTGCATAACTCATAAAAACACTTATCACATTACACAGTTACCTAAGTCTCGGCAGTGTGCCCACGGAGGGATGTCTGGTTTAATAAATAACAACAAAAATGTACTCTAGAGCGATTTCCCCTCCGACAGACGCAGCCCAAGTCCTAGTCTTTCCCCTTGTAAATCAGGGAACTCAGGGAATGTGGGGTGTTGTTGTTGTTTCTCCTTTCCTTTTCGGTGCAGAAAAACTGTCAAACGTGGATGTGTGTGTTTGTGTGATCAATTTTCTTCCCTTTAACATCATTTTTAATAGTTCCTACGTACAGAGACCGTGCGTCATACAAGTGTATGATGTACACACAAATTTTAGCAAGAGCATGGATAGTTTACAATCGTTTGAAGGAATTGAAAAAAAATTCAAGTAGCGGCGAGGGGGGGGGCGGCGGTTATCACTCTTAAGGTGAAAGGATGGATATAGGAAGCCTCCACGCGTTTGCGTAGAGAGAGCCGACATTGGAGTGAAGGCAGACACGCCCTTCTACTTCCCCTGCAGCCCCAGCCCCTTAGAACAGGCAGTGAGGGCGGTCATACAGCTAATAATGTGGGGCGCGGTGCCAGCCCCCACCAGATAAGGGCAGGGGCCAGCACATGAGGGGTCTCAAACACCCCTGCAGACGTTTATGGGACCTCTCAGCAAGAAGCAGAGCGTGCGGTTGGAAGTGAACCTTCCACGGGCAGGTTGCAAGGAGTGGAACCCAAGGGCTTGCTGGAGAGACAGAGGTGGTCACCAGACTGTCTTCCGGGGAGAGAGAGCAGGAGGCCGCATAGGAAGCAGAGTGGACAGGTTTGGGATCTGAACTAAAGGCTCTATGCAGAGAGGGGGCAAGAAGCACTGGCACCAGGGATTCTCCATTGTTCTTCACCCATGGCATCCGCCTATGCTCCCTTTAAATGTTGAGCCAGTATTTAAAGAATATCTGTCTGTACCTAATTATTGGCCTGAGTGTCTAGGTCCAGCCATGAGGACCTAGTGAGATGGTATGAAGACCTGGGGAGCCAGAGTGAGCGTCTTTACTCCACCCCTTCCACCACCACCACCAATTCTGAAAGCCTTGGCATCATAACCATGACATTAGCTCCAAGCTAGAGGCATCTTGTTATTTTTATTTTTTCAAGGACCTTGTTTTACTAACTATTGAGGTATTACAAGAGAAAAGAAAAAAGGAAGGGGCTAATATTTATTGAACACCTGTCTGTCTAGTGATGATACATTTTCCAGTAACTCGCCAAAACAATCTGTGTTACGTAACTATTGGCATCCCTATTTTACAAATGAGAAAACTGAGGCTCAGAGAGGTAACAAGCTCAAGTCCCAGAGCTAGGTAATGATAGAGCCAGGATTCAAACCCCATGTGTCCCACACCAGCAGCCCTTTGGGCTTTCCACCACCTACAATGGCTCTCATCCCAGGTACCAGTGCTGGAGTGCTGTCTATGGTATTTCTTCTTTAAGCCATTGGTCTGTGGCTCAGTCTTCTGAACTACGTCTAAATCCAATGACTACAAAGCCTCAAACGCCTGCCTGTTATGCTATCACCTTTTGAGAAAGGTAGATTTAGGCCATTCCTTTACGCAGATATTGCTATGCCTGTGTCATGTCACTCTGCAGCCTGGCCACAGTGATATGACAAGGGACAGATAAATCAGTGCTTCCCAAACTTTGTATACGTATCATCTGAGAATCTGTCACAATGATCAAAAGGGACAATTAGATCAGTGTTTCTCAAACATTACTGTGTATACAAATCACTGGGGATCTTGTTCACATGCAAATTGACTCAGGAGTTCTGGGGTGAGGTCTGAGATTCTGCATTTCTAACAAGCTTCCAGGTGAAGCCAGACCACACTTTGATTATCAGTGTCTAGAACACTAGCTTATGAGGGGCACCAAAAACTCTGCCCCAGGGCTTCCCTGGTGGCGCAGTGGTTGAGAGTCTGCCTGCCGATGCAGGGGACACGGGTTTGTGCCCTGGTCCGGGAAGATCCCACATGCTGCAGAGCGGCTGGGCCTGTGAGCCATGGCCGCTGAACCTGCCCTTCCAGAGCCTGTGCTCCGCAACGGGAGAGGCCACAACAGTGAGAGGCCTGCGTACCACAAAAAAAAACCCAAATGAAACAAAAAAACAAAAAAACTCTGCCCCAGAGTGGCATGTATATATATATATATATACACTACCCAGTGTAAATCGGCTCATTAGTGGGAAGCAGCCGCATAGCACAGGGAGTTCAGCTCGGTGCTTTGTGTCCACACAGAGGGGTGGGATAGGGAGGGTGGGAGGGAGATGCAGAAGGGAGGAGATATGGGGACATATGTATACATATAGCTGATTCACTTTGTTATAAAGCAGAAACTAACACACCATTGTAAAGCAATTATACTCCAATAAAGATGTTTTAAAAAGAAAAAGAAAGAAAAAAATGAAGCACACACAAAAAAAGAAAACAAAAACTCTGCCCCAAAGAGACAGAAGCCCATGTTGGATGATTCCTAACCAACCCAATTAAGTCACCATTCTTGCTGAATCTGGACACTAGACACACAGATAAAAGGGTTGGGGCAGCAGCAGAATCAGAAATGGAAAGAAAATGAATCAAGACTCAAGAAAAGCAATTAGAACAGAGAATAATGCATATGCCTTATGAGAAGTTGATCTGATGCTCAAGTGCTAGGAGCTGAGGGCGGAAGCCATGGGGCAGGAGAGGTGGGGTAGGGCCTTAGATGGAGAAGAGGGAGAAGACAGAGTATCCTGGGGAAGTAGTGACATCATGGCACCTTTTTTCAGGAACCAACACAAAGAGCATAAACAACTGAATAAAATATTTTATAAGTTTCTTTTATCCTGGACAACATTTTCACAAGAATGTTATACTTCATGCTTCAAAATATAGCTTAAGAGATTTAAGATCCTGCTCTTGTAGTAATAAGTGGACGTGGGGTTCACTGGTGGCACAGTGGATAAGACTCCACGCTCCCCATGCAGAGGGCCCAGGTTCGATCCCTGGTCAGGGAACTAGATCCCACATACATGCCACAACTAAGGAGCCCTGGAGCCACAACTAAGGAGCCTGCCTCCCCTAACTAAGACCCAGAGCAACCAAATAAATAAATAAATAAATATTTTTTAAAAAGGTGGATGTGATGTTAGCATTATTGCTGGTTTTATATAATGAAATTTAATGTTATTTTATTAAAATATCTCTGTATTATTCAAAAAATAAAGTTTACTTGATAATGTTACCCTGAATTTTACTGTAAAGCTTCTGCTTTCTTGGCTTGACTTGTGGAGAAGAGATCTAATACTCCCCTACCCAGATATCCAACATTATAGCTGGAAGCTTGTTGTCACCATAAGGTGACTTTGCCTATCTATTTTCTGATCCACTGGACTTGGGCATTTTATTAATCAGTATGCAACACTCAGAAAACATTCCCTGAAGATTGACTTGATGCTAAGAAAAGATATTCAAATAATAACCAGGCTCAGATAAGTGAGGGGCAATTAAGAAGGTGGATCATGAAAGGGTTTGGAAGATTTTTAGCTTGGGCAGTGCATTAGTGTGCTAGGGCTGCTCTAACAAAGTACCACAGACTGGGTGGCTTAAATAACAGAAATTTATTTCCTCACAATTCTGGAGGATAGATGTCTGAGATCAAGCTGTTGTCAGGGTTGATTTCTTCTAAGGCCTCTCTCCTTAGCTTGTTAATGGCCATCTTCTCCCTGTGTCTTTACATGGTCTTTGCTCTGTACGTTTGTGTCCTTATCTCCTCTTTATCTAAGGGCATCAGTCATATTGGATTACAACCACCCTAATGACTTCATTTTACCTTAATTATCCCTTTGAAGGCACTACCTCCAAATACAGTCACATTTTTAGGTACTGGACCATTAGGACTTCAACATATGGATTTTAGGGGGACAAAGTTCAACCCCTAACAGCCTATTGAATGCCTAAATGGAGATGCCCAATGGCAACAGAATGTGTGGGTTTAGAAAAGAGCTTTGGGCCTGGGAAGGAGACAGGTGGGGGTCATTAAAGGGTAGCCATGAGAATGTGAGGGTGAATGCTAAGTGAGAAGAGACAGGGGCCAAGGACAGAGCCCTGAGAACACCACACTTAGAGGATGACCAGAGGAAGATAGGACCAACCAGGAAACTGATAAGGAAAGAGAGGCCAGGAGGGAAGCCGGACAGGTGTAGGGACGCAGAAGCCAAGGGAAGAGGGCGTCTCAAGAAAGTGTGAGATGGGATCAATTGCATCATAT